TGGGGTAGGTCTCAACTCCATAGAACCATCAAAGAACTAGTGATTGTGCCTGTACTTGTGATCAAGTGGTAAAAATCGACGATGTCCCATGAAACAATTTTTCCTACCAAATTTTAGCCTTCTAGATTCTATATCAAAATTACATGATGGACAAGCAAGCGATGTATGTGTACTCCACCCAGAAAGGTTGTCAAGACCTAGAATGTCACTAATAGTACAAAACAAGGTAGCACGCATTCGAAACATTTCATTAGTAGAGGAATCATAAGCATCTACCCTATTCCATAATTCTTTTAACTTTGTAACAAGGGGTTGCAAGTAAACATCAATACTATTGTCAGGCATCTTAGGACCAGTGATTATCATCGACATGATAAGAGAAGTTTACTTCATATACCACTACGGAGGATAGTTATAAATATACAACATCACGGGCCAAATGCTATTATTGGAACTTAGAGTTCTAAATAGATTAAAACCATCTATAGCTAAAGCAAGTCGTACATTATGAGACTCTGAAGCTAATTCTGGATACAATAAATTAAACTCCTTCCATGCTTTACTATCTCTAGGATGTCTTACTAACCCATCTAGGTTAGCCTCCATGGCATGCCATTTTAGGAGCTTTGCAGTTATAGAACACATGTACAGCCTTCTCATTCTACGTATAAGTGGGAAGTACCGCAACACTTTCGTTGGTTGTGGTTTTTCTTTTTTTGTCCATCCATCAAATTATTTGCACCATCATTTTTTTCATTTGGTTTCCACCTAGATGTATTACACTTCTTGCATTTATCCTTGTCTTATCCTCCGATCCCCAATACAACATACAATTGTTTGGACATGCATGAATCTTATCATAGCTTAGACCTAATCTCTCAATCATCTTTTTTGCCTCAAAGAAAGATATTGGTAGTTTAGCATACTCAAAAGCATTATATAAAAGGTCAATGATCATTGAAAACATTTTATCAGTTGCACCACATAAGACTTTTATATGATACAAATGAACAATAAATGACAATTTGCAGTATTTTGTACAACCAGGATAAAGTTCTTGATTCCCATCCCTTAGCAACTCTTTAATTTTTTCTAGCTCCTCACTACTTACATCTTTTGTACACCTAGTGTGGTCACCATTAGGTAGGTTTGATGGATTAGGATATTGAGACCCATGATCTTCAAAGACACCAAAAGCATCATTTAACATATCTTGCATTGGATATTCTCCAACTGGTTCTTCTTGAACTTGGGCTATAGATTCTTTATTGGATTGAACATACTTTTCACCATGCATATACCGAATTGTATACTTTTTTGGAAAGCCCTTTTGAAGTAGATGACTAAAAACTTCAGCTCTATTGCCCATGTGATAAATTCACAAGTAATGTAAAGACACTATTTGTCCATTTATAGATCCATTTGAAAAGGCAAAGTCCAAAAATTAGATTACTCCATTTAAGAATTCATTGGATCTAATTGGTCTTGTCAATCATAATTGGATGAATCTGCTTTCAAATTCAAACAAAATTTGTTAAACCATTTGAGGTAACAAATTATATGGGCTAAGGATGTGTGTTTATGTGTGTTTGTGTGTGCATATAATTGGCAGCATAATGTAGCATAATTCATAGTTAAAATTTTTCAAAAAATATAGTTTCAAACATGTTTTAGTTTATTAAATATAAGAGAGTTTTAGGCCATAGCATAATTCCTAGTTAAAAATTTTCAAAAAGCACAATTATAGATATGTTTTAGTTCATTAAAGGGCTTGTTTGATATAAAGTGAGTGTATATATAAAGTGGGTTTAGATTTGTGGAAGGTGTTCTTTTCATTGCTTATATGAAGCATGTATTTGTTAATCAAGTTGTATTAAGGAATTAGAATAAGATTTTCTGGTCAATCATGGGTCTGCAATTTGGGAATGGTGGCAAGCTACTTAAGGCATTAGAATAAGATTTTGTTTATATTTTGATACTTTCTATCTAACTCCTGATGGTATGGTGATGTATTTAGTGTGTATTTATTTTCTATTTCATCCTATCATTTAGGGGATTATCCTTGATATGTTTGATCTCATGGTTGCTATTAGTATTCTAGGTCTTTTATACCCACAATGTTGCATTTTATCAAAAATGATCTATGTATAAATTAGAAAATTGCTTTATTTATAGTTGCTTCCTTTTAGAACTTCATTTCTTCTACTTGATATGAGAATGGAGCTTTTAGGCCATATGATTAGTTTTTCTAAGTAAGGAGCCTAAGAATACATTTTTTGCTTAGAAACAACTTGACATTTTGTTCTCTTTTTAAATAGAAGTTTAGGCAAATCAAACACCCTATTTAGAAAAATGAAAACAAGGATTAACTCCAAGAGTTGTGAATTCTTATTTTTTTCCTTTCTTATTACTCTTTTTACATATTGTTTGAGTGCCCAAATTCAGAACTTTTAGTCTTGGTCAATCAACTAACTATTAAGAAAAGATATGCAAGGCAATTTGAAAATCCCAAAAAATGAATATGTTTATATGGCAAAGCTGTAGAAATGGGGTTGCTGAAAGCGTTGCTCTGAATAGTGTTTTGGAGGATTAAATTTATAAATTATATGGCTGGAGACCCAAAACGTGTTGTTTACATTTCTAAATTTTTAAAATAGTATTTTTGGATCATATTATAACTACTGATTATAAATTTAGGCATTCTTAGATTTTTTTTAAATCCAACTTTTAGACATTATAGAATATTTTTCCTTTTAGGAGAAAAATGCCATTTAGCACCTTTCAGAAAAGGGTCAAATTTTGGACAGATTTGGTCCTATTAACTTGGTGGGTTTCTAGGATTCAAGATCTAAAACATAGAATCACACCTTCAATGGAAAGATGCATTAAGTTATGCCTCTAACTCATTGGTAGCAAAAAGAATATTAATTAAACAACCACAATAAAAACTTACCTTATTATTGTGGATGATCTTGAAAACCAGAGCAAAATAGGATACCCTACATAATCGAGATCACAATGTTTAGAATATAGAAAAGTCATGTGCTTCACAAGTAGATATAGAATTGAATATCAGACGATACAATGGTATTTTCTAGTTGTAATAATAGAAAAACTCACCTCTCCTGTACCATTAAGTACGTTGTTGGAAATATCTGTAAAGAATGAATTTACACATAAAAAAGAGGAATTATTTGGTTTATATGAGGTAAAAAAGAAAAAGGAATAGAATGAACAGAAAACAGAAATATATGAAATGGAGCACTCACCTCAGAATCCCAAATATGAATCACAGCATTTTCACTTGCACTTACGATAATCTTGTTCAGAGGTTCGCAGACAGCTCCATTTATTCTTCCTTGAGGGCCCTTGAGTCGTCAATCACTAAGATATCTTCACTAGGACCTGTAGTATAAGTCAATCACTAGGATATCTTCAGTCTACTTTACCAATTATGTGAGGATGCCAGACAACATGGGTAACCCTCCCAAGAACTAAATCCAAGGGAATCTGCCAAACATTCAATTCATGGAAATTTGTAAGGTTAAATGAGCAAGAAAATAAAGATTGCTACACAAACAATTTTAAAACAAATTACAACCTAAAAGAGAAGTGAGACCCCAATTGATGTGTCATAACTGATCTGTACTTCAACTTAAGGAGAGGATTTTTGAAAATAAAATAATTTGTTTATTTCGAAGAGGAGGAAAAAATATTGATATCTATGTTTAGTGACTTCTGAAAATATTTCCCCCCAATATATTTAAAGCATTCGTAATTCAACACCATACTAGCAGAATTTACAATTCCAAGCAACAATGCCTCAGGACTGATTGCTGAACAACCAAACAACCAATAGTTCCTTAGAGAAGCTAATAGATGCATTCCTAATATTTTAAAGATATTATCTCAAAGATAAATGACAAACCACTAAAGAAATATCAACTTCCCTCATCGCTCACTCCAAGGCAGAGAGAAGATTAGAAAATAATGTATAGACATCCATATCATAAGACATTTATAAACATGATTTTTTTCTTTTTTAAATGTATGGACAACCATATCATAAGACAATGAAAATTGGAGGAAGGAAAAAAATCCTCATATCAACCTCATATATGGACAAGCAGAACTCAAATGCTCAACTGAGGGCTTTAATGCTTCACCTAACTGGACTAGTGTTCTCCAGGGCCAATTGTGTGCTGATGAGTCTAAGCAGTACTTGCAAGAGCTCTCTTATTCTGCTTCCATGTTCATGGAAAAGTTTGAATTGACATTAATTTGATAAAGTGAAATGCACTATTTAGAAAAGGCTTATATATTATTGAGTTAAAATGACAAATTTTCATAGACTTTCTTTAGTATTGAAAAATACATTCATCATTAGAGCTTGCATTTTAAATCAATATCAATATATAAATTAGGATTACTGTATTGCATCTAACATTATTTCTTGGAATTCACAGAAACCTATAAGCAATTACTTTTTACCAGTAAACAATATTTGGGTTGTATGCCTGAAATAATATTCCCATTAATAGAGGCACAAGATACCAAAATGTCCAAATCCTTGATATATTTAATTCATTTTTTAGCATCAACAGTATTTATCAAGTATCACATAGTAGTTAAGGTAGAAAGTATGAGGTAGAGGATTTAATCATAGAGCATCTTTTTATCATATTTGCTTTTTAGCAAAAAATGTGTTTATCAGATATCATAGAAAATTTGACATGCAGTGTTTATCAAGCATTTAGCTACTGATGTCCAAAACATATCCCATTCCTTTAAGTCTTCATTATTAAATTTGAACAGTTTATGGCAATGAGAATAGTCCATCAAATAGAACTCCTAGCCTACGAAGTGCAAAACAAGAGATTTTCTGATACACTCCCCATATTTAATTTTTTCATAGGAGCTAAGGGGATTATTTGGTACTCTCCAAAATTGTCTAACCAAAGATTTCAAAACAAGAAATAGAACTGTAAGCTTATGAAAGCCTAAGAAGAATCAAATTGCAATAAGGACAAGAAGACTTCTGATTTAACCACCTTATCAAATATGGGAAATTCAGCCTTAAAGCAAGTGCAAGCAAACTCCATTATCTGCTCATTTGGTCCTTGGCTCTTGCCCACCAAACTAATTACAAGGGAAAGCCAAAATTTCCAGACCTGCACAAAAACAAATAAATTATATAATCAAAAGTCCAAAGAAAAACAGAGCTCCTCTTCTTTCTTGTAGTATTTAGCTAAAAATCAAATGGGATTATTGCTAAAAGGGAGCAATCTGCAAATACTGCAACTCTCCATAATTTCACTTGATTAAGCCATTAGGAATTGCTATGTCAAAATCTTAATGCAAATATAAAACAGGTCAAACCAAACCTTGATCTTTGTACTTGTCATACAACTTGCTCAACTCTGTGTAATTTGAATTGGTCAAGCCGTTGCATTGGATAAGAGTTGAATGTCAGAACCAAAGGTAAGTTCTCTTCAAATGAAGATTTCACTCTTTTCTTAAGCCCTGTCCCCATTCTAGGATCTGGGAGAGTCAGAAAAAACCTATAAACCAAGATTATAGGCACACAGGATGCCTGAGCCTTTGGGGAAGGGGAAGTGTCAAGAGTTGAGCATAATATCTAGACAAACTTTGTAGTTTCTAGGCTTAAGCCTAAAATGCTGTTAAGTCCTGGCTTCTAGCCTTTTTTTTCTTGTTGGGGGTTAAAAGCAACAGAATTTGTAAGGCAAATTAGCACAAATAACACCATGCATTTGAATTTTGAAGACCAAAAAGCTGAAAAGGATACAAAATCCTAGCTTTGGCTTTCCTAGTCCTTTGGGATTAATAGTAGAACACAAGCCCAAAAGGCCAGTCCACCAAGTTTCGGTTATTTAATAAATAAATAAATAAATAACCTTTAGTTCTTCCCCCAAACAAGAATAAATACATAATACCATTTGCAATGGAAAATAGACAATTGTCATTAATTCAAAGTATTGACATAGATTGAAGCAACCAACAAGCTTAGGCTTAATTTTAGAAGGTCAAAGTAAATTTGAAATTTATCAATCCAATGCTTATTGGGGTGCCAATTAGATCATAACACATTAGTATTACATGCATGACTTGAATTTCTTGACAGATGCAAGTATGACATGACATGGCAAGAAAAAACCCATTTCACAAGAATTAGACATCATCAACTTACTAATAATTTGGATAAAATTTCAAGATATCTTAATAGTAATGTGAATTCGATAAGACTTGAACATGAATACACCCAGAATTGTGACCCCTACTTTACAACTAGTGCAGTGAAAAAGGAGGTACAGAAGCCGGTGAATAGCTATGTTACTTACCATTGTGAGGCAACATTCACCATAATCATGACTTTCCCTTTGTAGATGCTGAGGTCCACATCATTTCCTTTAGCATCTTGCAAACAAAAAGCACAAATCACATGAAATTCAAAAGCTTGGAATTTACTCATAAATCAAGCCAGACAAATTACAAGTAAGGAAATTGAACCAGTTATTATTTCAAGAATCGGGCATTTTTTTTAGAAGAAACAAAAAAATAGAAAAAAGCCACTTAATTATATAAGTATGGTTGATTGATTTTTGTCTAATACCTAGAAAAAAGGGAAAAAATTCTAATTTGTTATCTGTATTTATGATTATCTCTAACTTCCTGAGCATATTTGGTGCTAATGTTAGCTCTTACACTTTCTCAGTATTGTCTTTTCCACATCCAGAAAGATAAGGGTTAAACTCCAAAACAAATTCTAACAGAGCAGTTCTTCATCACTTCCAAAAGTATAAGTAATTGGGTCCTAGAAGCAAAGTCAACCCAGATTCAAACCAAAACTACTAAATAGTTGATACGAATCTAATCAGAGAGAGATGAAGGATAGTTAAGTGGTAGCATTTTCAGCTTAATTGGAAGGTTACCCACCTTGACGGTGAAGTCATAGACAGACTGTGGCTTATTGGACGAGCTTGCCATTGTGTGATCTAACCTGAAACCACTCAACAGAGATCTTACACGCACAAAGTTGCTGTGATTTCTCTGAAATCCCAACGACCCACAAGAATTTTCCGATTCAAATGTGAAATTTAACAAGACAATTGAAGAATTCCCGGGAGAAACGAGATGGGTTTGTTTGGGAATTCGAATTTCCCTCAACACAAATCTACAGTTTTTGAGTAATAACCTTAGAATCCCTCTATCTATCCATCCTAAGCATCAATAGTTCTAATATCTTATGAACATTTCAACAAGAATCCAAGCTGTACAACACTAGATCAACAAGTTGTCACGTATCAGATTAAAGCAGTGTGATTCAATATTAGATCAACATAGGCAAATATTCAAAAATTTGGGAAGAAAAATATGATAAAAGACTTCCATTACTAGACAAATCGAAGAGCAAAACAGAATGAAGTAGATTAAGCTTTGAGTTTGAACAAAACAAATAATTTGTGTTGAGAAACTTTAGGGTTTCAATGCTAGCTCATCTCAATCTCCAAATGATGTTAGAAATTCTCCACATGCAAAGAGAACTAACAGACGCAAGCTATGACTTTGACAAACACGATTGTTATCTCCCCTAGAGCTGTTGCTAAACCTAAACCCTTGATTGAACTTAAGCAGAATAAGCATTTTTTTCTTCCTCACTTCCAAAAATAACTATCTCCATCTAGATACCCCCAATTGGAACCTCCTTAAACACAAATATGCCTCTCATCTAGAAGTTGAGTAAGAATTGATGGGTCTCGATTTCAATCATCATGAGTGTCATTTGGGTTCCTCGATACTCTATAGGTAGATCATTTCGTCGTATATTGTCGAAGGGTTGTAAGAAATTGTCCAAAACAAAGAGACTGAGAGACTGAAGAGGGATGGGAAAGACTGAGAGACTGAGAGTTAGGTCTACAATGATTGAGACTGAGAGCCTGAAGAGGAATGGGAAAGAAAGAAATAAAAAAGGGGATAGAAAAAAGGCATGAAATATCAGTAATAAAAAATGAGGGAAATGGTAAAAGTGGGGCACGCGCACGAGGGATGATAAAATTTTGCCACAGTGGCCTAGCCACGCACTTCAATCACGTGGGCAAATTTAATTTCTCAATTGGTTTTGCCACGGTTGTACTAACCATAGTTAAAAAATCGTGGCTAAGAAGCAGTTTTTTTGTAGTGTGACTACATAAATTTTTTTCTACTCTTCAGTTTTTATGCACACCTCTATGACTTCATCACTTAAATTTGTGTAGTATGAGCTTAATTTGTGTCTTCTTCCAATTTCCTTCCTAACTTAAGTTGATCATCACTTTAAAGTGCACTTTAAACTCAAATATATTGAAATCAGAATATAAGCACTCTGTTTCCATGTTTTGATATCAAGCATATATATGGAGTTTTCATAACATTTCAACTTTATCATAAAACATATATTTGTTTAGAAAAACTAAGGTTAGAGAGACACTCACCGTCTTTGTAGCCTATGGATACTCAGACTATTCATCTTGGCTTGGGTTAGAATCAACTTTATCACGAGTGCCTACAAATGCAAGTGTCTGGAGTGTGATTACAATGCCATGGATGCATTAGTAATGCATGCAAATGAAAAATGATGAGAATTATGTTACCAAAACCTATATTATCTTTTAATTCTTCATATTTTCTTTTCTCTTATTCCTTTACATTGCCAAACCTTATGTTTCCTTCATTTCTTAGATTAGTTATGATAAGTTTCAGCTTGCTCAATGTTGTTTTTAAAGGATTTTAAATACATTTTTCCGAAGTTTTTCAAGTCAAGAGATTGTACCCCTTTAATATCTAAGAGGTTTCTAAGTCATGCTTTTTTTTTATTTTCTATTGTCTTACCAATTTAGCACTCTTCTTTGGTGCCTTCTTTGGCCTTTATTAGACTTTTATTTGTGTCTTTTTTGAAGGCGTAAAACCTTCCCAAGATTGGTTTCTAAGTTTCTAACATTTATTCACAACCTTACTCATACATTTCATATTACCCTTAACTGAATTTTACTAGGTTTGAAGTTATATTGGATCAATGTCTTTCACCTTCTTCTTTATTGGTTTCAACTACTTCATAAGCTATTGATTAACCTTGGTTTTAAGTTTCATTTACTACCTTATTGGGTTCTTGTCACCCTTTGTCAAGGTTTTGATATTTTCTTTGCATTTCTTTTTCCATGGAGCTAACCCACTTCCTAATACTCCTATTAGCATCAAAATTGAACCAAAATCAATCCCTTTTCTTGGCCTAGGTGGTTCAGCCATCCCCTGTTTTCCTGCATAAAATTTTCTACAAACATGAAACTAGTTTTCTTGTGTTTTACAACTTGTTTTTCCAAAATTTCTTGCTATTTTTCTTCCCTTTCCTCAACCCCACGGGAGTTCCCTCTCTTTTGGTCCTATTTTCAAGCTTGAAAGATCTAATATAGATGCATGGAAACATCAAAATATTCAAGCAAACATGATTTTTATGCATTTCTCTCAAATATTCAACAAGTTGGGGTTTGTTCTCTCTCTACAATTTTCAGCTCCCCCCTGAATTTCAGCAGTTTAATATTCTCAAGAATCTTGTTTTCTTCAAGCAAATGAGATGGAATAGAGGCATAACATAAAAATCTACAACAAAAATTACATAAAAATAATTTTTCTAGAATTTTTGCAATTTTCTTACCTTGATTTCTTGATTTTCTTCTCCCCTTCTTCTTCTCTTCTCCCTTTGCTCTTTCTCTCTCTATATTGCACGAAAATGGGTGTTTCTAGAGGCTTTCAGAGGATTATAGATCCATTTGGTCGAGATAAATTTGGCCTATTTACAAAATGGTCCCTCAACTCTCATTTTGACCCCAGAACCTCTAAATTTTTCCAATTAGCCCCAAAACTTTTAGGAGATCCCTATTAAGACTCTATTATTATAATCCTCTCACAAAATCAAACATCACTACATACGTGTATTTTAAAATTTTATTTTTAATTCATCAAATATTCCATAATTCCTTAACTACGTTCAATTTTTTTTTTCTTCAAAATTATTTTCTAATCTTTCTAATCCTCTCATTAGGCCCTTTTAATCCCTTAATTTCCTTTTCTAAAATTTGGTATAAAATTGCAAGGTAGCCCCCTGAACTTTTAATTAATTATGTTTTGACCCTTTAATCCTAGAAAGCTTAGGAAATCTCTATTAAAATAATGTAATCCTCCCAAATTTAAGAGCTAAACTAGGCTAAGATACCATATAATTTTCATAATTTTATTCCTTCAAATTCTTGAAGTTTTTATTTATTTATTTATTTTTAATCAAATAGCTTAACTAGGGTTTTTCATGCCAAAAGTGTTTTTTTTTTTTTAATTTCTTTCTTTCATTAAAATTCCATATTTACATGCTTTCTATGATTCTTCTAAGCTTTCTTAAGGTTACAAACAAGCAACTAAAATTTAAATTTTTTTCTAAAATGTTTTTATTTTTTCATTTTGTTTTTCAAAAGGATGCATATATAAAACTTAACGCATGAAATACATCAGAAGTAAGAATTAATTCAATGCATCTTTTCAATGTTGAAGTTATGCATTCCAAACTTGTTTTGGAATGTCACATCTAATGCCACTTAATTATTCTTTTCTCTATTTTAAATTCATAATTAATATTTTATATAAATCCTCACTTAACTCTAAGGCCACTAGTATTTATATAATGCATGCAAATATGACATACATGGAGTTATAAGGTGATGCATGAATATGAAATGCATGGGTATAAGTTATACATGCCCATTTGGGTTAGAATATGACGTAATAAGTCTAAAGAAAGAAAGAAAAAAAAAATCTAAATATATCTAGAATTTAGAAGTTTAGTTGATAACTATTTTGACTAGCATTTATTAATTTTGTCATCAGGTGCTCTATTTCTATTAAAAACTATTACTATTGAGAAATTGAAAAATGCCATAATACTCCTCTGTGTTTCAATTAACTTAAACAAAATCTCCTTATAATATAAAAATTGACCCAAAATACATTATAATTTCTTATTCACTCTACCAAAATTTTCCTTCTGTCAAAGTCTGTTTTGTTAAAATTTACTTTTGGAAAAAAGTTACAATGCCTCCATGTGTTTTAACTAACTTGCACAAAATTCTCTCCTAATATGAGAATTAAAATAAAATATATTGTGTTTCAATATTCCTTCACTTATTTTAGGTGAAAATGATTGTAAATTTTACTTTCTATGATCTACTTAAAAGTTAAAAATAATTATTTAATTAAAAACATTATCATTCATCATATGATTTGTTCTTTTTGCAATAAACTCAATTCTATACCCCAAACGATATAACAAAAATGACATAAATCCCTTGATGATTGGAAATGTAAGCAAAACTCCACTTAATTTTGAACTAAATTGTAAATAGAGGGGTGGGTGAGTAACATAGTTTCAAAATGCTGGCATGCCACAGGCAT